GGTTAGCTAGCTAACTGTATATAGCAAAGGCAGCCTACATTTAGCTATATCTCTTTGAAAGGGACAAATTGGTAAATTATTAAGGTTTTTATAGCTGTCTGAACAAGCTTACGTTATCATCTTTAAGTCTTTTATTTGTTCTTGTGCCACCCGTCGTGACTCTAAAAAGTCATAAATGTCTTCTTCCACGACAGAATGACGAAGGATAACAAGCACAGCCGGTGTACAGAGTAGTGGTCTGTGAAGTCATGATACTATGGAGCCCAATGAACACTGACACAGTTTATGGATATGCAGATGCGCACACACACACACACACACACACACACACACACACACACACACACTTTTTTCTCACCATAGTATCTGGTGCTCACCACATAGTATCTAGTGCTCACCACATAGTATCTGGTGCTCACCTGATTGTATTGGGTGCTCACCTGATAGTATCAGGTGCTCACCACATAGTATCTGGTGCTCACCACATAGTATTTGGTGCTCACCTGATTGTGTCGGGTGCTCACCTGATTCTATCAGGTACTCACCTGATAGTATCAGGTGCTCACCACATAGTATCGGGTGCTCACCTGATAGTATCGGGTGCTCACCACATAGTATCAGGTGCTCACCACATAGTATCAGGTGCGCACCAGATTTTTACCTAAAAAAAAAAAACATTAAGTTCCTTTACTGGATACACCATGTCCCTTCAGGGGCTCCATATATATTTATACCTTTTCATAAAAAAATAATAAAAAGCCTGGAGATGAGATGGTATATGTGGAGTCAATACAACTTAGAAAATATAATTTCACTGGATTATAGTTCAATTATAGGTTCCCTGACTGAAGGCACTGAGATGTACCCTTGAGGGTCCCACCCCAGTACCTTCATTTCTGAGAGTGCAGAGGTGTCACGATATGCATTTTTTTGTTCAAAACAGGGCTTAAGAGAGAATACATGCTGTGAAATGAATACAGATACATTTCATGTATAAAATACAGGAGCCCGGTATGCCGGAACCCGATACGGAGCCCGATACAACACACCTCTGACTATGAGCAGAGCCTCTTCAGTGTGCCAATCACAGAGGCCCTTTAGACTTTGCTTGAAAAGTTGTTTTATTGATTGAGCATGGAATAGACTTCAACGATAGCATAAAGAGGTCATGACTCATCTCATCATCTCATACCCTCATCTGAAACCAGGCCTGTTTTTTCTCTTTGCACTAAAGAAACTTAAAAAAAAAACTTTAAAAAAATAAATAAATAAAATACATGATATTGGAATGTTTCTATAGTTTTATTTAACACAATCTGATCATGATATTTCTAAAAAATGTAACCATGAATGTAAAAAAACACTGCTGCACAGCTCTTGGAATGGGGAAAAACTGGTTTGGTTAGGCTTCCTTGGACAAAGCTGAAGTTAAGCTTCTTATTCAGCAGCTTCTTAAACAAATTTCCACCTTAAATGTTGCAGCAGTTACACTGAGGACAATTCGAATAAGAAGCTGGCAAATAAGAAGCTGAGTTCAGCTTTGTCTACTTTGGATGGTCGATTAACCTGTTAAGCAGATTGAAATGGGAGCGAGTGAACTAAGCATTTATCTACTGCTTGGGAACACTTCGGTTTCCCAAGTAATGATGGGCAAAGAGTGGTAGACAGAACAGACACAGTGTGTCGACATTGCATGAACACAGTTGCTCCTAACTGCTGTGCAGTTGTAGAGTCTTGGATTCTGCAGTTTGCTAGGAGTGACTGAGCCATGATAGAAACCACCTCTTAGGCATTGTTTACACAGCAGGTAACAGTGGCCCAATCTAATCTTTTTCTTCATATGTGACACAGATGTGTTCTGTGTGGCAGCAAAAAACACACTGAATGAGACATTTTCAATTCCAATTTGAGACGCTTTCATATGCGGTACTGAAATCTGATACATATCCGATATGCAGCAATGCGACTCAGTCTGAACAGTCAGATCGGAATTCATGCAACTTCTACATCAATCCAACTTGGAATTCATCATCATTTCATGCTGCTGAGACCCCATAAACCTTTAGACTGATGTTTCTTTACTAAAAAATGAGCAACCTCTCCATGTTTAAAGAGATTTCAAATGAAACAGCTGAACGTGGCCGTAGGAGAACGTGGCTGCAACATCAAGGAAAAGTCTGAAAGCAAAGTTTAAAACATTTCCAAGGATGCAAACCAAAGAAGTGGCTGTGGCGAATAACATCCCCTTTTTACGACAATCTCAGACACATTCTGTGTGCTGAGCCCAGCTGTCAGTCAGTGAAGCTTCATGATCGCTCCTGTGATGCTGGTGAAGACGAAACTGAAAGCTCTGGAGCGACTGGTGTTCGTGGCAGTCATTATTGTTTACATCTTGATGAGCGCACCACGTGAAGCATTGTTCTTTTGTGCATGTGGGTCAGTTTAGGAGCATGATCTGTTCAGACTAATGTCGCATTAAGGTCACATTTAAAAGATAAAGTGAACAGCCAAACAAAAAAATCAGATTTTTTGAGAACTTTTAACTGCTGTGTGAACATAGCCTTAGACTCATTTCGGGGAGAAGACAAAAGCGACAAGAGTTTATATAAACACACCAGATCAGACTGTAAAGCTCACTTGGTTTAATATTGAGATGTATCCTTAGATAGTAGTGAAATTTGCATATCATTGCACCCCTAGTAAATACTGTGAAAAAGAGCGAGTCTGCTCTATACTTAAAATTAAAATAAAATCAAGTTTCTAATAAGATTCTTGGAAAGACTGTAGCTCTCTATCATGATATTTCATTCAGATTTGTAAAACTCCTTTGAGTTTTTATACTCGCTCTGATTGGACAAGCCAGCAGAGGCTCTCAAAACATCAGTGCGCCAAAAGCGTGACAGGAGAGGACAGATTTAGAGCCATGAGTGCTCCTTCTAAAACAAAGGAAACTCCTCTGAACTCTCTTTGCCGGAGCCCGATACAACACACCTCTGACTATGAGCAAAGCCTCTTCAGTGTGCCAATCACAGAGGCCCTTTAGACTTTGCTTGAAAAGTGGGTGTATTGAATGAGCATGGAATAGCAAAGACTTCAACGATAGCATAAAGAGGTCATGACTCATCTCATCATCTCATTCCCTCATCTGAACCCAGGCCTGTTTTTTTCTTTTTGCACTAAAGAAACTTTAAAAAAACACTGAACATTGCCCAAGTTTAGCATTTTGACTCTGGGCCTATCTGCATAATAATTAGAGTCAGTGTTCTCAATCAAACTCACATATTCTCAGTGGCCTGCTCTTATTACAAACATTTAACAGCCATCAAAGTCAGCAGTAAAGAACTGAGTCCATCAGGAGGTATCTGTTCACTCTGTGGAGATGGATAAATGTTGAGTGGTTATTGTCTATAGTGAATCATCATAGAGGGAAATCAAGAGCACAGTTCATTAAAATGCAAAGGTCTTCGTGAGCCAATGCCTCCCAAATGGCTCTGGCCTGGTTTAGATACAGTTTAAAAGAGAGAAGGCGCTGGGATCCCTAGCAATGGAATTCATCTATCAAATTCTTCATCAATTCTTCATCCAGCTAATAAAACTGGCTAATACTCTTACAAAAACCTCCCTAAATACATAATGTCAATTTTGTAGCCCTTCTTCTAGTATTCTCTATTATCAGTACACTTGTTCTGTACTGCCACACATTTTTTAATGCTGTTACTGCATTTTTCCTAGTTTGATTCTTTGAACCATTCGTAGTAGTGCAGGCTGAAAACCAGATGCTATGATAGATTAAAGCAATAAGCCATGAGAGGATGTGCAGTACAGTGATTTTATCACAGATAAGGGTGTTGTTAGGCACAATGCAAAGCAGAGTGCCTAAAAATCCCCACCCATGATCTTGTAACAAGAATACACATCTGGGGACAAAACCAAGGACAGCATAAACTATGACAAAATATACATCTTTTCTGTAAATAATCTTATTATTAAAGTTATTTTTAACAATAATCGAACAAGTACTCCACTAAGAAATGTAGTTTCTTTAGAATATGGTATTGTTGTCAAGCATCCATGGACTGCTGAATGAGAAGAAAAATGCTATCACTTCATGTACTTTTTCCTTATCATATAATAATGAATATATCATAATGCAGCATTGTTCAATACAAAAACCCATAATTGTGCAATTGTAGTCCTTTCAGTTAAATGCAACTTTTGAATGGCTTTTGAAACAGTACCTTCAGCAGACTACACTGGACAGTGCTTGCAGGTAAAATCAACAAGCAGCAAACTAACAAAAGCAATAGCAAAGTGTGAAGCACCTATTTCCCCTCCAGATCCTCCACTGTTTAAACCTAAAACATAAATATTTTTTCTTTATTCATGGTAGAGACGTCCATCCAGGGCATTGTGTGGCAAGATAGACCCCCCCAAAGAAAACATATTCTTTCAGATTTTCCACTATTTTGCATTCAACATTACAACTAAATAAAAAATAAAACTCACATGTAAGTTCACTGATGGTTTTGAATAGTAAATAAAATGGCTATATTAGAATTGGCTGTATCGAATCAATCTGAATGACATCTCAACCATGGAATTATGCAGAATCTTTTTAAAAATTGGTGGAACAGTGACCCAGAAATAGTGCAGAACCTTGAACACTTAATTTTACCTGTCATAACTTTTTTCTTTGTTTTAACTTAAAAAATCGGAAATATTCCAGGTTTTCCAGGTTTAAATAATAAAAAAAAAATCTATATATTTCTTGCACCCAGTGCCAGTCAAATTCAGTTTGAGACTTATAAGGACATAATATATATTGTTGTGAGTTTTCCATAAAAAGTCAGTATATACAAACTTTGTTACTTCAAAATAAGATTACTGCAATTACTGTCGACAAAATTTCAGTTCGTAAATCAAGCAACCCCCTTTTTTGGGCATGCATTGCAATAAATGAAAATAAAAGCATGATGCTGTTGGTGTAGTGGAAACATCACCTGACAGAATGAAGAATATTCCAGAGACGAAGGCTAGAATGGTGCGCTGTGGCCGGATGTGGCCGATGTTGCTGATGACAAAGGCTGTGAAGACGAAAAGGAGGGAGACCATGGGGAAGGGGGTTGCCGTCCTCACCATTTCTTAGAGAAGGAGAGAGAAAGGGAGATTATAATTGAATCAAGATGCATTTAAACAAGCACAGCAGAAGACGGGGAGAGCCGATGAATAAAAGCTCCAGCTGAATAATAATAACAAAGACTATCACGCCTTTAATATCCCATTCCATTTTCACCATACAGCCTTCTCAATCACTCTTTTATTACAGCCTTGCTTATTGTGTGTGAATGACTAATATGGGTCTCAGTTCCAGGAGGTTGTTCAGACAGTAGAGCTGCACATGTACTTTTTTGAATATGTGAAATATTCCTCCATATACTACAATACACCAGAGGGAGATTTTAGATTATGAAATAAGCTCTGTATGTTATGTAAACCATACATTACAAGGAGGTGCACGTTTTTCAGCCTACTCAGCAGTCTCTATACAGTGAAATGGAGAAATTAACTCAGTGCCAGCTCTACCTAATAAGCAACATAAGCAGCTGCTTAGGGCTCCACAGCCACCAGGGGGCCCCATAACAGCTTCTGGGTTATTACTGTACCTTATATTATCTAAGATGCTCAAGTGAGGGGAAACAGCAGGTTTAGATACTCAGGCTGTGATTAATTCAGGTTTAGATACTCAGATTGTGATTAATCAAGGTTTAGATATTTCGATTGTGATTGATCCAAGTTTAGATACTTCGATTGTGATTAATCCAAGTTTAGATACTCTGGCTGTGATTGATCTAGGTTTAGGTACTCTGGTTATGATTAATTCAGGTTTAGATACTCAGATTGTGATTACTCCAGGTTTAGATACTCAGACTGTGATTAATCCAGGTATAGATTAATCACACCATGAGTATCTAAACCTGGATTAATCACAGTCTGAGTATCTAAACCTGGAGTAATCACAATCTGAGTATCTAAACCTGAATTAATCACAGCCTGAGAATATGAACCTACTTATTTCCCCTCACTTGAGCATCTTAGATAACATAAAGGTACAGTAATAACCCAGAAGCTGTTATGGGGCCCCCTGGTGGCTGTGGGGCCCTAAGCAGCTGCTTATATTGCTTATCAGGTAGATGGAGCTGGCACTGAGTTCAGTTCTTCATTTCACTGTATAGAGACTGCTGAGTAGGCAGAAAAATCGACACCTCCCTGTAATGTATGGTTTGCTTAAAATACAGCGCTTATTTCATAATCACTATCAAAGATTTAAATACTCAGACTGTGATTAATCCAGGTTTAGATACTCAGACTGTGATTTATCCAGGTTTAGGTACTCAGACTGTGATTAATCCAGGTTTAGATACTTGGACTGTGGATATTGGGAATTGTGGGCCAATGCCAATAGCTATATATTTGCAGGTGCTGATACATAAACATTTATAAAATGTTCTGCCTCTATTATCTTTATGGAGAGTTACACGATTTATTTGTAGAGGGTTACAAAAGCAGTGAAATGAATATGAATGTAGATATTTTAGTGCAGTAACCCAGTTATTCTGCTCTGCAATATTCTGCTCTGCTGGAGTTCCTCAGATACATCATCAAACATCACCTTAATATATTAGTTACATCTAAACACCTGTCCAATGCTGATAACTGTTTTAAGCAATTGTCTGCCAATACTGATATGGTTCCAATGTCATTGTGCATCCCTGCTCTGCATTTTGAGAAAATTATTACAGGGAGCTGGACTTTTTCTGGGGCATGCTCAGTACACTCCATGGAGTTACTTCTTTTTTAGGTTAGTGTTCCACTGTCCACTGCGATGGTCCTTACTCAGTATATTTGCTGTGTTCTCTGTCGTGATCTCGATTTCTGGCTCAGTGAAATATTCTGACGCCACACATCTCCCCTTTTCTGGTCCTGAGAGAGATATAGAGGCAGGGAGAGAGAGGGAGAGAGAGACAGCATAAGAGAGAGTGAGAGAGGTAACCGAGGGGACAGAGACACGACAAGGCAGAGGAATAAAAAGGCAGAGAGGAACAAGAAATGAGGGGTGCCCAAAAGCGGCCAAGGGAAAGAGATGGACAAAGATTGACAGTGACAGAGAGACACTGAGACGGACAGTGAGAGAGACAGAGATAGTTTAAAGGGGAACCGAGGGATGAGAGATGAACATTTAGGACACTGGAGAAAACAGTGGTTATAAGCATTTTCTGTATAAAAACAGTCATGATATTCAGTCAGAATAATGTGTTCAGTGGCATTCTTGTGCAACATACTGTAGAATAATTTATTATAAACATTATACACTTATAAAAAGGTGTGGTATTCAATCAGAATATGGTGTTTATTGGTGGTTTTGTGCAGCATATACTAATGAAATGCATTTAGAGTGAAACTTGATCAGAGATTTTGATGTTCAGTCCAGAGTAACTGGAAAACAGACCTCAAACCTGGACTGTGCAGTGCAAAATTGGACACCTAGCAACACTATTCAGACATCTAGTTCCTATTATCCTTTTAACAGGAAGCCACAATGTTTGTGATGTCAGACCCTAAAGCTGTTTGACTCCCCTTTGTGGAGAATTTTCGACCTGCTAAACATGAGTGAGTAAGTGAGTAGTGGGTGAGAGAGACAGAAGCCAGGTCTATGAGTTGCTTCCTTAATGGCTCTTGGCTTGGATATATGGCTTTAGGAAAAAAACGTTGATTGGAGTAGAATCATTAGGCTAAGGTTTTTTAAATGTGTTCCTCACACTTGCCCATCCCATTACAAACATGATTATTTAAAAAGCTATCTATTGGCAGGTTCTTTAGGTGAAAAATATAGCGATATTATTTGCTATACAAAATGGTCAGTGAACATCTATGTCTTCATTGTTTTCATACGAAAAGATGAGGGTAATATAGTGGTACATCCAAAAGAAAGTTTGGATTTGTTTTATTTGGGGACTATTTTGCCTTGCACCACTCTGCTGTGAATGAATGTTAAAATGTATTTCATTTTATGTAATAACTTCTAGAGGCATTTGACTCTTCAGACGTCAGAGTTGCCAGATTTCAGCCATGTCAAAGCTGCACATCCCTTGCGGTTGTGGATCCGTCTGTTATCACATCTTTTCATCTCTTCTGGCATGTTTTAAAACAGTCTGGTGCTTGTTCGGTTTATTTTGTTTGTTTTTACATTTTCCTTCATACTTGAAGAAAAAACACAACCATGAACGTTCCATGTAAATAGCTGTACAAATGAATTTTTGCAGTCTACTGTTTGTTCTGTCACTGTGTAACGCAAATAAAACCATGGGAAAACAACCTATTGTTTATTCACTCTGTGTTCTGCATGCTAACTATCCATAATTGATGCATAAGATGAAGATGCACATGTAGATGCATATGTAATTGTCTTTCTAGCTGTAACTGAGAAATAACAAGTTTCAACTGAACTCTCCAGTGATGCAGTCTAACTTTGCCTATGTGCCTACAAACAGGCTGTGTCTCGATCTGAATACTACCATACTAAAGGGTATATTAATTATTACCATTGATGGGTACTAATTTTGTACAGTGTTTGTGGTTTGAAACAGCCACAGAACACGGCTGCACCACAGTCAAAAACCTCTGCGTGCAAGCCTGCAAGCAAGCGAGTGTCAGAAAGAGCAAGAAAGAGAGAGACAGTGGTGTGATGACAGGGGTAGAATGGCACTTTATCCACTTTACCTGATGGAAAAGACTAAAACTTGTTCGGACATTTTAATGTCCACATCAGAGTAATAAGACTATGGACCTCAAAACTGGACAGTCCAGTGCAAAACCAGACCCCTGACAACCCTATTTGGATGTCTAGTTCCTATCATGACCACTGCTTACAATTTTGAGTTGATATGTTTCTCTACAATGAAGCATTTCACACCAAATGAGTCTCTGAATGACTTTGTTAACTATGTAATTTAAGAACACACTATGAACACATAACACTTATTTAAAGAAAGGATACAATAAATACAAAAAACCTATAGACTGTAACAGACACCTCTCCCCCAGTCCCCTAGTAGGAAAAGAACCAGCCAGCATTGACAGCAGTGGCAAAGCACTAAAACAAGGTGACATCATCCTCACACTTCTCCTAGTCAGCCATTCCCTGCCAACTGGTGTGGCACCGCTTCAGTCCACCTCAGCACTTCCTGCTCATGTTGTGAAAACAAACCAGCATGCAACACAAAGGAAACTCATTTATGCAGCATTTTCAAATCTGACCATTCATATGGAAATGAGCCATCTCCTCCCCAACAGACCAAGACAATGGCCATTTTATAATTTCCTTTAATGGAACGGTAATGGCGTGTTGCACCAATTTGCCCACACTATCTATCTGGTTTAAATTGAGCAGCCGATAGAATTATGATGCCACACCAGAGCCATGGGACCTACCAGCAACACAAACAAAATGGGATTTGGCAGGAGGCACACACTTAATAGGCGGCTAACTGGGCATAAAACATGAGATATGGGAAATATGCAATGTAGGATTTGGAAATTAATGAAACTCGGGACAAAAATTGAGGTAAAATAAGTGATGTTACGGTTATAGCATGTACAAGGGGTTACATATTTTTTGTCAGTGGCTTGCTAATAGTGGCTGGTTCTAGCAGCAGGTGTCGCAGTCTAATGTGTGAGATATGCACTGTAGATGAGATTTTGTTGTATTACTAAAGGTTTCAGCCTAAAATCACTGGTCTCAGAATCTCACCCACAAAGATTTTGGAAAAACTGGCTATCTGCATGTCTGTGCACTAGTTTTATTAGTCCGATAAGAATGAGTGTTCATTAAGCTAAATGCTAGCATTCCACGCTAATAAGCAGTTGTATCTCCGTACACCAAGAAGCCTTTCAGATTGAGATATAGGCCTAGTCTCTGATCCAGAAAACATTCACACTATCCTGTTTTAAGAAGTTTTTCCTGGACTTTTTATGAAACTGTAGGTAGCAATATAGAAATTGAGATATTCTGTGAATTTTCCAACCAATACTCCACTTTATTTAACCCAAGATTGTTTTCATTGTTCACACATTGGCTTAAACATTCTGTAAATGGTCATTTTGCAGTGCAATTGGTTTCAGCTTATGTAGCATTTCCACACTAATAAAGTACTTCAAAAAAACTACCTGTTCACTGCAGGTTTTACTCCCACTGTATCTCAAGTGGGCATCACTAGACCCAGTTTACTGTTGCCAAGCCCCACTATAATCATAGGGAAAAAGGCAGTAAGTAAGTATGCTAAGGTTTCCCATTTTAAACTAGATTGCTGGGTTAAACTACACCACACAGACATTATGACGCTTTCAGTTTTCATATTAAGTCTGTACAGCAACTGTTCTCAATATGGAGCTAGATGAACCCTGACATACATAAATATTTATCATTATACATATACAAATGTTAATCTACCTACGTTTAACAGCAAGTCAGTTACAAAGCACCCAGCTAATGATAAGTTAACCATTTAGCCTGCTAAATCAAAGGCACTGGTTAAGTTAAAAACTTATGTAGTTTAATCTAATACAGCAACAGTATTGTATGTCATTTCCATATAAAAGGAATACTGTGGAGTTAATAACTTCCCATTTTGCACTGGTTGTACCCGTCCACCTTCGCTACAGCTTAAGAACCATGCAAGCTTCTGTAGTAAATTAGAGATGTGTTGATTGATGTATGATTGTATGCTGATGTTTGCCTTACAATAACAATAAAAAATTCGTTCCTTTAACATAGTAGCTGCAGTTATCACTGCCAATATCAATTAGCAATTATAAGCAATTATAACTAATATTTTAACTATTATATAACTAATAACTATGACTAATATTTTAATTATTATAACTAATAATAACTAATTATTTTGCACTTCATCTAAACAAATGAAGAAATTAATTCAGAAGTGTGGATTCTAAACATACAATCTTTCTACGTTTGTGTTTGTGATTATAAGGTAATTATGGTTATGATTTTGAATTTGATGAAAAGTTATTGTTGTGTCTTATTTTGTGGAAGAAAAAACATCTTTCCATCACCGTTACATTGGGACAATGTTTTTGTCATTTCTTGACCTCAAAACAGATGCAAAAAGTCATAAATGCAGAATCAAACCTGTTGATACAGAATGTGAATTGATTGCGAAAATAAGACTTTATGTAACTAAGTAATTAATTATGTAATTACATAATTGCATTTTAGTAGCACAACAAATCAACAGTGATAACTAATTTTTTAACCTCTCAAACACTAGGCTTGTTATTGAGTTGTTAATCTTAACATTACTTTTCAGCAAATGCTATGACAGTAATCAGGGTCCAACTCCCAAACCTCCTGGATTTACACACCAGCCGCTGCCTGAAGAAGACCAGGAGGATTCTAAAGGACTCCACCCACCCAAGCCACTGCCTGTTCTCACAGCTGCCGCGCGGGAGGAGGTACAGAAGCATAAAGTCCAGAACAAACTGGTTCCGAGACAGTTTCTTCTTATCTTCTTATCTCATATTTTCAGTGTGAGATGTAAATAAATACCCACAAAGATATTTTTAATGACCTTTATTTCCTTACCAGGGGTGGAGCTGACTAAGTTACGTGGTTATGAGAATGGGGAATAGTGGGCTCATACACAGACCCTGCATCAGGTTAATATTAGTATTAACCTAATATCAATATCAGGTTAACATGTTAATATCAGGTTAGCAAAAAGTGAGATGTGCTCCCTTTTATAATATTATAAAGCTGGAAAATGACACCAATCAAACCTAGTGTACATGGAGAACAAGGCTGGTGCATTGTGAGATGTAGAACAAGCAGCGTACCAGCCACAAAGCAGACCCTCCAGAGGCCGGAGTGCAGTGCCATCTTCACCTCTGTGGTCTGGTTCTGCTGCAGAACAATGCCTTCCTCCATCAGCAGCCAGTAGTCTGTCGACACGGCGACACCCACCAGGAGCAGCCCACATGCCCCAAACACGGAGGAGAGGAGCGTCAGGGCCCGTGTGCTGAATGAGCTCATCTACACAGACATAAGGACAGAATGGACAGCAAGATAATCAAGACCAGAAGCTCTGAAAAATAAAGGTGCCAAAAGAATGGAGGAATGCCATAGAAGAACCGCTTTTGGTTCCCTGTGCTGTAGATGCTTTATAGATACCTACCTTGCATTTGGCTACATTCAAATTCCAGCAGTCAAATTACATTTTGTTGATTTTCGAAGTTAAGATATGCTAACGTGCTCTACAGGGAATTTAAATATGGACATAAAAGCAAACTCCAGTGCACAGTTTCTATTCATTTACTGAATTTAACAACATATTTTCACTTATTTCACTTAAAATCAACAAAAGGAAATTTGACTGTCACTTTTTGTCACTTTTTCACATGACTGTAAATACTATTAAAATCAAATCATTTTCCCTTTTCCCAATTTTAAACCTGGCCCTAATCCTAACTCCAACCTTAAATTCAATTCAAAACATAATCCTAACTCTAATCTAACCAGATACATTGTAAGGCTGGGTTGACAAATCAGACATTCACGGAAAAAAGATAAATCCTAGCGTTTATTAAAAAGGGGATTAGCTGAAATAATAGGGTTAACACCAGACCAGGTCAGAAACCAGATGAACAAAACACATTACATGGGCGAAGGTGACAACAGAATCAGACAAACAAGAAAGGGTTGCAACAAATGGACAAATACACAGGTAGACAAAAGGGACAAATCCAAGAATCAGCAACAAGAAGCAGAGCAAGGTCATAAACAGGGTAGCTAGCAAATAAGAGAATGGTTCGGTATGCGCTGACGGAACAGAAGCAATACTTCACAAAGAAAGAATGCAAACAGACAGGTTTATATACACAAGAACACAGGTGTTGATAATCAATACTCAGGTGGTTGGCGTATGATTGGTTAGTGGAGTCACATGACAAACTGAGGTATTCTGGGAAGTGGAGTCCGCAACGGAATGAGAATTGGACTGAGAACCGGAAAGCATGACATATAGTGCTGATAATCTGAACACACATCTGCAGATAATCTATGGGGAGCTATCCAAATAAAGTGGGATTAAATCTTTAAATGGATGGATATTTAAAATTATTTTTAAAATGAGATGTGTGAGTATGAAGAACTTTTGTAAAACTTTTATTTTGTAAAACCCCACCTTATATGAAGGTTCTATATCAATTAAAAGTTTATTCTAGAACCATGCTTCTAAGCCATGCCCCTTTATTTTTATAGAGTGTATAGAATATATTTACATTATGTAGATTTAACAAAATGGTTCTTGGAAGAAGCATCCACTGAATGGTTCTTTAGGGAAAAAGTGGTTCCTCTATTGCAGGGGTGCCCAGTCCTGGTCCTGGGGATCTACAATCCTGGAAAGTTCAGATCCAACATACCTGGCTCTGATGTTCAGACACTCCTGAAGGGCTTCATTAACTGGATCAGGTGTGTTAGATTAGGGTTGGACATAAACTCTGCAGGGTTGTAGATCTCCAGGACCAGGATTGAGCACCCCTGCTCTATTGCATCGCTTCAAAGATACCTTTTGGCATCTTACACTCAAAATAAACCATAAATAGTATGACTTTAAAAAGGTTCTTCACACTTGCACATCTAATTTACAGAAATTCAATAAATTTATTTTAATTCAATAAATATAGTTTTTTCAATAAATAATTGCACTTACCCCTACATGTTGTCAATCAGCCAAGATGTTGCTTCTTTATTTTTAGTGTTAGAGCCACGAAGCCAGCATTGCTAACAAACACTAGTAATCAATCGTCACCCAAATTGTTGTTCAAAGTGGCTGCCTGTTGCATTCACCTACATGATAAAGCCGTACTCATACTCAGTAAGTCATACTGTGGCCTAAAACACAAGCCTACAAAAATGACCTTAATGAAGAGCTGGATGTGGTTTGAACAGGTTGAAAGACGTTTTGTGGATGTATTTACAGAAAAGATTTGGGTGACTCTTGACTTTCAGTGTTTGTCAGCAAAGATACCCTCATGGTTCTTGTTTAAAACTGAAGAAGCAAAACATGTCTTAGTCTCTGACTGATAACATGTGGGATAAGTGGAAATTTGTGTCAATTAAATGTTTTGCTGAACCATATATTAGATATGACTCAAATTATGAGATTTTGCCATATTTATCTGTTTTGCTCAAATACAGACTGGCACATGTAGAGCTTTCTAACAGTCTTTTACAGTTTTGGCTAGAATAGGACTCACAGCTACTGTATGACTCACTGATGAAGGAACACAGGAAAGAAAAAGAAAGCAGAGAAAAGTGTCCTTGACAGAGGTGTGTTACTAAAAGGATTATCACAGTGACGTCAGGAAAGAAAGCAATGGGATAATGAAAATGAGGCACATGGGCTCAAATTTTCATTCATTTAAATACATCATAAAGAAACACTTTCAACATGACAGGATCTCAGGCACAGGCAAGGCCAAGTTCTCTGTTGAATTACTGTAAATACACAATTATTATGTGATGATGCAATGTGGATATATATGATTTTCTGCTACAAAATTACGGAATTGTTTGAAAGAGAGAGAGAGAAAGAGAGAGAGAGAGAGAGAAAGGGGGGGGTCAGGCCTACGTGTTCCATATTCACACTCTGAAATGCCAGGCTGAACAACAGATTGACAGCCATGGAGAAAACTACTATTCCCAGGATTCATTGATAGGCAGTATGTATCCAGTGAGTCAGACACTTGTGGAAACATGACATCTTTTGGTGCTGGACTGTGGGAAACACCCTTACTATGACATCTATGATATCTGTGAAATAAACAACAATGCCCACAAAACTTAGATAGAAAGTGTTGTTGAAGAATGGCACTCTGGAAAGAATGAATGAAATAACTGACAGATGGTGAGAGAAGCAACGTAGTCAAGAACAGAGAGCAGTCTGCAGATGGTACAGACAGAAATGACATAGATAGATAGATAGATAGATAGATAGATAGATAGATAGATAGATAGATAGATAGATAGATAGATAGAGTTGTATGCATAAGTTAACACATCCTCAACAGGTAACAAACTTAAATAATTTTTTTTTTCTGCTAATTTTAGTGCACATTTTCACATTTTAATGCCCAACAGTAACTGGGCATTAAAACATGCAGAAGTGTGTTCACTGAAGAGAATATATTATTGACACTGTAGATTGTAAAATGGATCTTTAAATTTATATACACATGGTAGGGATATACACATGGATGCGATAAATAATGAATGTATCCATATTTTCAGTTTTATTTGCACGATACTGATATAGTCCGGGGTCTCCTTTGTCGTATTTTTCATTTCATAATGCGCCATACCTTTTCAGTTGATGACAGGTCTGGACTGTAGGCAGGTCTGCTTAGCTCCCGGACTATTTTAATACGGATCAATGCTGTTGTAATACATGCAGAATGGTTTTACATTGTCTTGCTGAAATATGCAAGGCCTTCCCTGAAAAAGACGTCATCTGGATGGCAGCATATGTTGCCAAAACATATCGTTCAGCATTAATGGTGTCTTCACAGATGTGCATGTCACCCATACCATGTGCACTAATGCACCCCTATACCATCATGAATACTGGCTTTTGAACTGGGCGCTGATAACAAGCTGGGTGTCCTTGATTTCCAAAAAGAATTTCAAAGAATGTTGATTCGTCAGACCGTAGGACACTTATCCACTTCACCTCAGTCCATTTTAAATGAGCTCGGGCCCAGAGAAGGCAGCGATGTTTCTGTGTTTATATATGGTTTCTTCGTTGTGTTTTAGAGTTTTAACTTGCGTTTGTGGATGCAGCGACGAACTGTTTTCACCTACAGTGGTTTTCAGAAGTGTTTCGGAGCCCATGCAGTGATTTCCACTACAGAATCGTGTCTGTTTTTAATGCAGTGCCACCTGAGGGCCCAAAGATCATGGCCAGCAAATACTGGTTTTTGGCCTTGTCCTTGTACAGAGATTTCTTCAGATTCTCTGAATCTTTTAGTGATACTATGTACTGTAGATGATGAAAAGCAAAAATTCTTTGCTATTTTACAGTGAGAAACATTATTCTTGAATTGTTGCACTATTTGATTGTGCAGTCTTTCATAAAGTGATGAACCTATCCTCATCTTTACTTCTGAATGCGTTTCTGGGATGTTTTTTTATACCCAATCATGTTATTGACCTGTTGCCAATCAACCACCAGGTGTTTTTTTAGCATTACCCAACTTAACCAGCCTTTTGTTGTTCCAGTCCAACTTTTTTGGAACATGTTGTTGCCATCAAATTCAAAATTGGCAAATATTTTTCCAAAAAACAATAACATTTCTCAATACTTGATATGTTGTCTTTGTACTATTTTCAATTAAATATAGGGTTTAAATTATTTGCACATCATTGCATTTTGTTTTTATTTATATTTTGCACAGCGTCCCAACTTTTTTGGAAATGGGGTTGTATACGAACAAGTATCAACTCTGTGAAGTTACATTTTTGTGAATATTCAATCACAAGCACCAAATCTTTGGTTATCAGTGACAGATTCAAAACTCATCACATTCAATTTATTTTGAAAACCAGCTCAGATAAAGTGCCTTATGGTCTTATGGATTTCAGCAATCCTAGTGGCTCAATTCCCAAGTACAAGCTATATATAGGTAGTAAGAACAGATGCCTATTTCAAAGAGAGTGAGGACAAAGAGAGATGAGAAACAGCTACATGAAGAGGGGGAAGAGAGAGATAAGAGTGACAATGAGGGTTTCGGGAGCTGTCCATCACTGTGGCTGAAGCCCAGGACCGCACTGAGTCCTGCTACAGCAAGGTCTGTGTCCTTGGTGCTGTACGGGATTTACAGTGTTGGATTTTTTTAAACATCTGTTGTACATACTTGTACTGAAACACTTGAAAAATTCTTCTCTTTGGTTTGTGATGTTAATTTTGGTCTCTATTTGTACATTCTGCTAATGTAGTGTAAGTTAATTCAGCCAGAGGCAGCGTTGTTAAAATGCATTGTTAATGCAAAAATTATGCAGAATAAAAAATGACGCAGAATTGTACTTTATAGAATAGTATTGTGTCACAGGCACATATTTTGGGTCAACTAACCAAACTACATAACAATTTATCATAATGTCCAGATAGTTACAGAAAATAGTGCCTTTAATTTACATGGTTTAAAAGTGGCTGCGCTTGAATAACACGTTACGTCAATTCGTGCAGAAAGTAAGCTGTGTTGATGTATTTTATTCTAGTCATGGGCACAACAATTTCAAGCACTAATTTTCAGTGTTGCATGAAGAGGAATTCCACTGAATTTTCCCACTGAACATTTCTGCATAAATAAATCATTAAGATGTAAACAAAGTCATTCAGAGTGGTTTGATGTGAAACGCTCCATTCTAGAACTTACACAGATAGAATCGTTCACAGAGGTAGTGATAGGAACCAGACATCTGAAGCATGTAATAACTCTAAAAGCTCCCTCACAGAAGATTACTATGTTTATGATTTATAATTACTATTTTGAATATGCTGCCAGACACCTGAGTTATTGTTATACAATAAGGTTTGAGATGAGATTTTTGTCAAAAATGTATTTTACTGCGATCCATTCATGGTGGAGAGGTACATGTAGGGTTAGTCCCCAAAAAACGTTTTATTTTACCATCATCAATATTACATACAAAAACTCAGAAGACACATGTAGCTTCACTGGTTGTTTTGGATAGTAAATAAAATGGCAACATTTGGGTTTTAGACATGATGATGCCTGGTTCCTATCACCACCACTGTAAAGAAATTTGAGTTGGTAAGTTTCTCTACAGTGAACCATTTCATATCACCACACTGAATGACTTTGTTTACATCTCAATAATTGAACTATGCAGGAAGTTTGAAAAGTCAGTGGAATTCCCCTTTAAAATTATCCATGTTCAATGAGCATATAAGTAGAGCTTTATATGGTATATAATATATAGTATATAATCTGACAGATGTATGTAGTATGCAAATAATGAATATGGCCCTGTTTATTAATTCCTAGACATATCTAGTCTCCACAATAAGTAATCTCATTATAAAATATGGATTCTGGATGCAGCCTTCTTAACCCCTTAAATGGCCAGGACCTACCGGAAGGTGAAAAATTGCATTACACACTTCTATAACCTAAGAATAGCTCAGGCAGTTTGTACTGAAGTCCCTGTAGTTACTGAATAATAAGCCTTAGTATGTAAAAAGCCTGGGATTTTAAGGGGTTAAAGGTTGAGCTTAAGAGAGAGAGCGAGAAAGAGAGATAGAGAGAGACAGAAAGAGAGAGAGAGAATGTAGAAAGTCAGTTTGAGGAGCTGTCCAGTGCTGAAATTCACTGTAGCATTGCGCAATACAGGAATTCTTCAAGCCACTCAATATATTTTTTTTGTACGAAATCACAGCTATAGTGTTACTATTAAGTGTAATTGGACTGGAACACCTCGTCTTTCAGAGTTACTGCTACAGTTCACTGAATCTCTGAATGCACTGCTGGCAAAGAGCATGGAGATTAAAGCATGGTGAAGATGGGCTGCAAACACACTTGGTCTAAAAACTACAGCACCCGTAGTGCACTGGAGATTCCACAGATGGCGTGTGCAATTGAGTGGGGAGCGAGGACCCAGGGGGGTGTAGTTTTCTGTTGAGAAGGCAATATGTTCTCCTGTCAGCAGGTTAGGCCAACTGGCATGAGCAGAGTTTCAAATGGCAAGGAGAGTGAAACATGACCAATTGACAGAGGAGTCTGCATCAGATCTGAGGTGGAAAAGAATGATGGAGAGAAACTGACACAGTCAATCTGTGTTTGTGCGCGTGTGTGTGTAGATTGGGGGGGTGGGGGTGGGGAAAGACCTTGGCCCAAAAATATCTAAGAGGACAGTTTCTCTCTCTCTCTCACTCTCTCTCATGCACACGTGTATACACACACACATACTGCAGAGAGAGAGAGAGAGAGAGAGAGAGAGAGAGAGAGAGAGAAATAGAGGGAGAGAGACAGCGACAGAGAGAGATAGAGAGAAAAAGAGAGTGTAAGGTCTGAGAGAGAGAGAGATTCAGAGAAAGAGAAGAAAGAGAGAAAGAGAAAAAGCGACAAGGAGAGAAGAAAGAGAGAAAGAGAGAGAACAGAGAGAAATGGAAATAAAAATTATGTGTAGTTGGAATTTAATTGAACTGAATTGAAATAGAGAGAGAGAAAGAGAGAGAGAGACCAGCACAATAAAAAGAGAGAGCGAGAGAAAGAGGGAATCAGAGAAAGAGAGAGTGTGAGGTCTGAGAGAGAGAGTTTCACAGAAAGAGAAGAAAAAGAGAAAGAGAAAAGGAGACAAGAAGAGGAGAGAGAAAGAAAGAGAGAGGGAAACAGAAAAAGAGACAGAGAGAGGAGAGGAGAGGAGAGAGAGAAAAGAGAGAGAAAGCGAACAGAGAGAAATAAAAATAAAAATGATGTGTGTGGTTGACATTTAATTGAACTAAATTGAAATAGATAGGGAGAGAGAGAGCAGCGCGATAAAGAGAGAGAAAGAGAGAGAGAGAAAGAGGGAATCAGAGAAAGAGAGAGTGTGAGGTCTGAGAGAGAGAGATTCACAGAAAGAAGAAAGAGAGAAAGAGAAAAGGAGACAAGGAGAGGAGAGGAGAGAGAAAGAAAAGAGGGAGAAACAAAAAAAGACAAGGAGAGGAGAAAGAGAGAGAGAGAGAGAGAGAGAGAGAGAGAGAGAGAGAGAGAGAGAGAGAGAGAGATGCACGCGCACATGCAATCACATGTGCGCGCACATTCAGGCATTCGCAGTTCACACAGCCTTCATTCATGAGAGCGAGGGAGCTGCGCGTGCCGCTTCTTTAATTCAGTGTTAGAAAAGCCTCGTACTCACTTAATACCCTATACATATATCACCATCGCGAGCCTCTAATTCGGCCACTCTCCACGTCACTTTCCCTTCGACTGCCCCCCACTATCGTTCCCCATCCCCCCAACCCCCCATCACACGCACACAGCCACACACACACGCACTGCACACTCTCACACACTGAGCTTTATACAAGAATGTCATTTCAAGGAGCTGTCCAGTGCTGAAATCCATTACAGCCTGGCAGACTATGGGAATTCTTCAACCTCCTCAATATTATAATGAACTTAAAGAGTTAAAACACACACACACACATTCACACACACATTCACACACGCATTCACACACACACTCACACACATCCGCACTTCGCTCCTGCAGCACTGGCAGCCCAATGAGACTCTAGCAGCAAGAAACACGCTGACTTTCCCTCAAACACACGCTAAGAACACAGCAGTGCCGCCCAGTCTCAGCACATCATACAGCCACCAAGCTCAGATCAGCAAAGAGGACTCTGAGCGAGACAACTGCGGCACGATGTCAGAGAGAACCGCGCAGAGCGAGAGAAGCCAAGAGTGAGATTGTTTTAGAGAGAGAGAGAGAGAGAGAGAGAGAGAGAGAGAGGCTGCTCGAGCTTGGTCACATACCTTTAAAGCATTTCCCGCCGTCATATTGGCGTCATTCTCCGTTACCATCGTGCTGTTTTAAACTCAGCCTGTTCTCCGCTGTGACTCCGCTCACACACACACTACGCTCTCTAACACTCTCTGAAACGGCCACACACGCACTGAGTCAACATGATCCACCTTCCGCCGCTCCGCCTCAACTCCGACTCCACAACTCCAAGCACAAAGCCTGGATACACACACTCACACAGCCGGACACACACACACTCACACAGCCGGACACACACACACTCACACATCCGGACACACACACACTCACACAGCCACACACACACACACACACTCACACATCCGGACACACACACACTCACACATCCGGACACACACACTCACCCTCTGAGGCGCAGAGAGAGCTCCGGAGCTCAGGAACCCTCGGACGATTTCACTGCTTCCCTTCTCTCTATCGCTCTCTCTCTCTTGCTCTCTCTCTCTCTCTCTCTCTCTCTCTCTCTCTATCTCTCTCTCTCTCTCTATCTCTCTCTCTCTCTCACTCACTCATTCGCTCGCTCCTCTCGGCACTGCGGAGAAAGAAGCGGCTGAATGGACAAACGGTGAGCGAGCAAAGCGCGGGAAGCACGAGCGCTGCACGCAGTAGAGCAGTGAAGAAGACGGAAGAGAGGAGTAGAGAGCCTGAAGAAGACCAGAGAGAGAGAGAGAGAGAGAGAGAGAGAGAGAGAGAGGGAGAGAGAGAGAGAGAGACGTAGTTACTGTAGGCTACTCGCCACAGTGATGAGGCTCAATTAGGTCAGTGTCCAAAGCGTGGTATAAGCTCGAGGTTTAAACTTGTGGTTTAAGCTCGTGGTTTAAGCTCGTGTCCGTCTCAGCCGTATGATTCATGCAGACTTGTTTTAGCGCACATCTGGGAGAGAGACGAATTTGCTACGAGCAAATGTAAAAGTGTTACATTAGCAGAGCTTATAAAGTGAAACACGCAGTGACATCTATGTTATTTTTATTTGCAAGGCAGATAGAGACTGTCAGTCAACTATTCTCAAAAGAAAGTGAGAGAGGAAGAGGAACAGAGAAGAGGAGAGAGAGAGAGAGAGAGAGAGAGAGAGAGAGACTGACAGAAACTACTACTAATCCAGACAATGGCGACATAATTTAAAGGCACAACCATGAGTAGATCGAGATAAACAACGAGAGTAAACTTGTTTGAGAGAGAGAGAGAGAGAGAGAGAGAGAGATAGGGAGAGAAAGAGTGTGATACAGGGAGAGAGCAAGAGAAACAACACAAGAGGGAAAGTGAAAGTGTGACAAAGAGACAGTGACACAGAAAGACAAACAGAATGAGAGAGAGAGTGACAGCGAGAGAGAGACAGAGAGAGAGAGGGAGAGAGAGAAACAAGAGGGAGGGAGAGTGTGATACAGAGAAAGAAAGAAAGAAAGAAAGAAAGAAAGAAAGAAAGAAAGAACAAGAGAGAGAAAGAATGTGACAGAGAGAGAGAAAACAAGAGGGAGAGAGAGTGTGATACAGAGAAAGAAAGAAAGAAAGATAGAAAGAAAGAAAGAAAGAAAGAAAGAACAAGAGAGAGAGAAAGAATGTGACAGAGAGAAAAACAGAAGAAAAGAGAAAGTGTGACAGAGAGAAAGAGAGAGACATTGTGAGAGTGAAAGAAAGAAGGAACAGGAGAGAAAGAATGCGAGAGAGGGAGAAAATAAGAGAGAGAGAGTGGGATACAGAGAAAGAAAGAAAGAAAGAAAGAAAGAAAGAAAGAAAGAAAGAACAAGAGAGAGAGAAAGAATGTGACAAAGAGACAGAGAGAAACAGAAGAAGAGAGTGTGACAGAGAGAAAGAGGGAGAGACATTGTGAGAGAGTGACAGAAAGAAAGAACAGGAGACAGAAAAACAGAACAAGAGGGAGAGAGAAAAAATGTGACAGAGAGAAGGGGAAAGAAACAGTGAGAAAAAGAGAGAAACAGAAGAGGGAGGGGAAAAAATGTGACAGAGAGAAGGGGAGAGAAACAGTGAGAAAAAGAGAGAAACAAAAGAGGGAGGGGAAAAAAATGTGACAGAGAGAGAAGGGGAGAGAAACAGTGAGAAAGAGAGAGAAACAGAAGAGGGAAGGAGAAAGAATGTGGCAGAGAGAGTTTATGGTGCAGCTCAAACAGTCTGCAGATCCTGGACTGGCTCTACAGGACAGGGAGGTGAAGTTCCTGCTCTACGCAGACGACCTGGTGCTGCTGTGTCTGAGTGCAGAGGGACACAGCAGCGCCTGGACCTGCTGGAGCAGGACTGCCAGAACTGAGCCCTGGCAGTAAACCTGAAGAAAACAAAAGTTGTGATCGTCCAGAAGAAGCCCAGATCTCAGGAACACAGGTACCATTTCACTCTGGGCAGCACCAGCCTGGAGCACACGATGAGGTACACTTACCTCGCTCTCATCATCACTGCATCCAGGAGTGTCAACTAGAAGAGTATCTCCTGACTGTCAGAGATACAAAGCAGAGACAGATCCTGACCAAGTACGGACTCAGTGACCACAGCCAGAATCACATATATCATGAACAGCAAACGAACTGAGAAGCAGAACAAGCTTTTGCTGTGAAGATAATTAACTCTGAACAGCTCTCAGCTGTTCATTATTAAAGCGAGATGAAGGTAAAAAAGGGTGAGATGTGTTGCTTTTCTACCATTTACAGGCTTTACCTATTGTTTGGCACTGTTGCCATGGTAACGCTGAATGATAACAACACTGCAGTGGAAGAAGCATAAGAATTCCGATCTAAGCGTTCACATTAAGGTCGCATGGCCACAAATCAGATATGTATCCAATCTAGGACCAAATATGAAAGTGGCTCAGGATTTGAACAGATCAGATTTGCATGTCCACACAGCCCTGAAAACATCAGATCTGAGTCACAATAGGGCAAAAATCTGATGCCACTTCAACCTGGTAGTGTGAACACAGCCAAAACGTCCTGGCTGCCCAGAGAGGAGAGACTGTGTGGTCACTGTACAATAGATGAGGTCGTGAGGTCACATTCTTCTTCACTGTGAAAAATTCAAACCAGTTAACTTAATTGAACTGAAAGATTGAGAGAGAGAGAGAGAGAGAGAGAGAGAGAGAGAGAAACAAGAGGGAGGGAGAGTGTGATACAGAGAAAGAAAGCAAGAAAGAAAGAAAGAAAGAAAGAAAGAAAGAACAAGAGAGAGAAAGAATGTGACAGAGAAAGAGAGAGAATTAAAGAGAAGAAGAGTCAAAAATAAAAAAGTGAGAGGCAGATTAAGGAAAGGAAGAAACAAAGAGAGAAACAGAACAAGAGGGAGAATGCATGAGAGAGAGAGACAGAGAGAGAGGGTCGATCTCACTGCAGTGAATGTATGAATGCTTACTTTGCTGTGGCAGTGAAGAAAGTTACACTGGACTGCAGGATGTGTGTTTATGCAGTGTGTGTGTGTGTGTGTGTGTGTGTGTGTGTGTGTGTGAGAGAGAGAGAGAGAGAGAGAGAGAGAGAGAGACAGAGAGCAGTGGTTCAAGGTGTTGCACTTCATAGCCTCAGGCTTTTCAGTCCACACCTGCAGAAGAGCACACAAACACACACACACACACACACACACACACACCGGGTGGCTGCTAAGTTCAATATTCTGCATCAGAGAATCCTTTATCACACTTTGAGATGCAGGATCAATACAGACTTCAGAATGTATCTGTGTATGTTAATAATTCATAAATAGGCCTTGCAGCTCTGTTTCTCTTCACTGACTGAATGACAGAGAAACAAAAATGAGAGAAAAAGTGAGAAAAATACAGCAAGAAGTCACATCACAATATTGCGTTTTAGTGCAATAAACAATAAAGAGAGGAAGACCAAAAGAAAGAGAGACTCAGAGTGAAATTATTTATTTGTCTCACTTTACATTCTGTAAGCTGGGACTGACTTATTTGGCACAGACAATATAATATGCTATTAACACTACTTATAATGCATTAGGGTAACAATTTACAATGCATTGTAAACATGGCCATGAAGTGTAATTAATGTATAAAACATTTATAGCCATGTATAATGTTTATAATGCCTTATGGATGCTTCATAACATGTTATGTATGTGTTTACCAAAATGACCAAATTTTGTTCTTAAAACTCACTTACGCAGTTTTTACGAAGACTCTGATATTCACCAGTGTTTTCTTATTAGGGATTTGTTCTTTGGTAAGAACAGAATCTAAACACACTCAAGAACACAAAGGTGAGAAAAATTCTGCGAATGAAGAACAACGTCATAAGTCTGATCAGGACCTTTATCAAGAAAAATTTTAGGAATAAGCTTAGGAAGAAATTGGTGAATGAAGCCCATTGTTTCTAATTTAGCACATAAGTCATGCCAGGTTTTTCACTCTTCCAGTCAGAGAAAAGAAGGCAACAAAAGTAAGATATCTAGATAGCCAGGTAACTACCCTGCTAACCGCAGTTCTTAGCTTGTCATTTAAGTAATTCATTCTCTCCATTGTAATGATTATGTGGAAACTGATGTTACCAGTAGTAACCATCTGCTTTCACCAGTTACCAGAAAAAAATCTAAACCGCCCCCCAAAATCCAGCCCAAAACAATTGTAGTTCTTCCCATCTTCATATTGCATCATCAGAAGGAGAGTTACCTCCTTTTAACCCCTTACATGGCCAGGCCCTGCCAGCAGGCCCAAAGTTGTATTACACACTTCTATAACCTAAGAATAGCTCGGGCAGTTTACATTGAAGTCCCTGTAGTTACTGAGTAATAAGCCTTAGTATGTAATAAAGCTGGGATTTTAAGGGGTTCAACCGGAAAACCTCACTATAGAGACTACTGTGGCATGATAGGAAGTGAGTAGACATGCTTACAACATGTACAAGATGTAGTGATGGTTACATTTTTCATTTTGACCAGAGTGTCAACTTAAGACTGAGCAAGCATTCAGCAAAAAGCTTTCTCTTAAAGCAACCTTCAACTCAAGAACATTTCAAGAACTTTTTCTTTTAAATAGTGATGTGTTCTCCTAAGCAGCACTCTTTCATTTTCCCTTAGAGACTTGAGGTTTTATATGAAATCTTTTTAGGTCATTTGCATGCTCTTCTTAAGTCACACAATCTCTTGACAATGAGAGGAGGTTTTCATTCACACTATCGAAGGTCATTGTTGTCTGTATCTGTGTCTTGTTACTGTTGTGTTTATGCAGCTCTTGTTACTCCTTTGCCTGTTGTTTAACATCACTTGC